GAGGAGCATTGAGAGCTATGCTCCAAAGATAACGCCATAAGAGCGGAGCGAGTCAGGAATGGAAGGAGAGAATTGTATAGGAGGGGTTAGGTAAACTTGCCGTGTATGGCAGGCAGGGCATCAGGGCATATGAAAATGAAGATTAACAAAGACGTGGCGGTAATATTTACAGAGCACAGATAGTAAAACGAGTAACATATTTGGATACGGAAATTATCGAAAGGCAGCAGTGAACGTGAAAGGCCCAAAATTGTACAATAAAAGCATAGAAATAAAAGAAAGTGCTGGAGGCACGCGAAAGTATTGGTGTAGATTAGGGCTACGCAGGCGAGGCGGAATGACAGGCGAATAGCAAGAAGAGAGCAGCAGACAGTCTGAATGTCGAGGAAGCAGCACTGGCAGATTATTGTGATAGCGGACAGAAAGGGTATACGGCATAACATACAAGGATGATCCTGGCAAAGCATGCAAAGCACGATGATCAGAAAGCAGAGAGACAAAAAGAGGCGAGCGAACACGAGAAGGAAGACTGGTGACGCGCGCTCCACAAGCTCCGCACGCTGATGCCCTGAAACGACCAGTCACAAAGGAACGGAAGTTAGTATCCGCAAAGTGATCTTATTGGATGCAGCCGTAAGGCCTATAAGAGTAGATCGAAGGTTTAAGTGATCAAAAAATGGGTAAAGGACAGAGCTTAAACCTTGATATATAGTCAAATATATATAAGCTCGAAGTTCCTTGGAACTTAGTTTAGTGGCCTCCTAAAACCGTTTGTTCTTAAACGTTTGTTCTTAACCGTTTGCTCTTTACCATTTATTGCTGACTGTTTGTGGATCATTTGCAGTTGGCCGTTCACCCTTCACCATTTACCGTCTGTTGTGAACATTGTTAATCGCGCGTTGTTAAACGTGCACTGTTTCACCATCGCTGTGTTACTGGCCTATCTTTGCTCACCGTATCTTTTTTGAACTATTTTTACTGAATCTCTTTCTATTGCCTACCAGGCACGCAGGCGGACACGTGACACTAGCGTTGACAGCTCCAGTGGTCAGTACAGAATGCCAATCTGACGAGAGTTCGAATATTCGGTTACCTTGCACTTTGCCTCAAAATAACTGGTTAAAAGTCTGGAAGATGCTGGAAAAGTAGGAGAAACCGTGGCCATGTATCTTGAGATTCAAATTAGATCCAAATTCTCGTTGGAGATAAACGCGACTCGCCTCCGCTTTAAGCTACAGGTGAACGGTGATTGGCCCCAAAGATGGCAGCACGCACGGTATTAAATTGAACGCGCAGAAACAATTAAATGAGAACAGTGTGTCCTGAAGTAAGCCTTCACTGTCACGTATACATCTTCCTTGGTCAGGATGGCAAAACGTAACTCTGTGCGATTTATTTGTTCTCTCACGGACTATAGAGGTCCGTAATCACTACTGTCAACGCCAAATGTCTGTTGAAGACCTTAACCACGACGATGTAGTTCCAACTTTATTTTCACGTTCCGCTGCAGGAGGATAGACCATGTATTTTCATACCGCCCAACATAAAAGCGAGACCCCGCTGCGTAGAACAAAGTGACACAACTGAGACTGGACAACGTTACAAAGGCTTTTACAATGCAGGTTTGGCAATTTTGAGTCGGGTAAAGGGTGAATTATGCACACACCCAGATGGGCGGTAATGTAACGGCTAAAAGCCGACCCTCGCTTCGGTTTCAAGACAATAGCAATAGCTTTTCAAGGTGAATATTGAGCCGACCAAAATCACGATGTATGGGAAACAATCCTTGATTTCTCTCCCAATATTTGGCTCTGGCCCGAGATAGTTGAGACATCAGTGAGTCATACTGTTCGAATAGTAAGTTGGTGTCGGTGAAAGCTCGGCCGTACAGAGGCATACCTAGGACAATCTTGTAAGAGGCCAATCCGTGCAGGTGTAATAGTTGATCGCTTGGGTGGTGTTGAATGGAGTTCTGGCTATGTTGCTGTTGGATGCGTGGAGGTTGGCATCATGGCCGGCAACGGTGTCCCGACTTCTGGTATAATCGTAGGCCATCAAGTTCCAGAAGTCAAGGTACTAATTCACCTGGGCAAGATGCTCCCACTCGTAGTTGGCAGGGCCTAGAGTTTGGGTTGGCATAACTAAAATATTTGAAAGAAACGACACGTACCAGCAGGTGACGCAGTGGTGAGCAAGAAATGATAACCGTCTGCGTTGGCAGAGCTGTACAAATCCAAGGCCTGAAAAATATAGTCTTAGCAGAGTCATCAATAAGAGAAGCTTGAAATACTTCACGAAGACGGCGTAGGGCATCAACAAATTGGTCCGCTTCGTTGTAATTGGCAGGATACTATCCGATATCAGCATCAAACACTGTCGACGAATTAGCAAACTTACTTCAAAATCAACATCGATACCGTCAAAGCCCAAGTCCTTCAGCAGCTCGACAGAACTGTCAGCAAACTTCTGGCGTCCCCCCTCAGTTTCAAAGGCAGTTCTGTGGTTGGAAGAATACGTCCAGCCTCTAATCGACAAAAGAACCTTAGGTTTCGATTCTTCTTCTTGAGTAGGAAAAGCTCCTTGACACAACCATAGACATTATTCCCGGTATCAGCCCATGAATCAGGGGAGTAGTGCTTGTCGGTGGCCGACCAAGTATCCGACAGGACCACCTCACCAGAGGTTCGGGCATTGGCAAATGCGTAGAGAACATGGGTTAGTTTCTCGACAGGGATATCCTGAGGTTGGAAGTTGCGAGCGTAGATGCCCTGACGGTAATAAGTTAGTTTAATTTAGTGGTGGAGTAAATATGGTTCAAACTCATACCCAGTTCACAAAGTACGCCATGGAACGATATCCCTTAACATCACGAGTAGCAATGTTAGTCGTATTGGCCTTGGTCAAGTAGGGGATGTAGGTAGCGTTGGCTAGTTACGCCAGGCCCAACATAAAAGAAGGACAAAGTGCATCGTGAGAGAGTGGCAAGGTCGTATCTGATGATATGGCCCGGCCTAGCGCGCTTTGAGAAGAGGGGGCCATCGAGAAGAAAGGAAAAAGGCAGACAATTTGTAGTCGAAAAGCTATCCCACTGATCATTGTGACCCACAATAGGGCAACCAACCCCTCAATAAGTTCTCAGACATGACCGTGAGCGTAAATACAAGAAACGAACAAAATGATGAACCTGGTTCCGAGCGCGACTGTACTTGGCCTCTTGATGGAGGTAGCTGCGTTGATCTTAAATGAAAAAGAAACAATGGGGTCTGGATACATGTAATTAAGATCTGCCATATACCTATAGTAAGAGACAAGCCGATTCTAGAAGCCCAACTTGTCCTCCAGACTGAGAGCTTTCCACCCTCTTCGGCGTGGTTTGGTGGCTTTACTGTAATGGGCCTTGCAGTGTTAGTTTGCAGATTTTGTATGTGGTGAAGAAAGTACTACGCCACTTACGATCAAAAAGATAGAAAGGAACGGATAGTGGCATTGACACAGCGTTCGGCTACTTCTCTCGGAATGGTATCCTCGTAAGGAGTGTTGCAGTTGATATCCATGCTCAAGGTAATGTTGTTACCGCTGTTGGTAGAGACCATTACCGTCTCCGTGCCGGTTTCTAGATTCTGAGACCCAGCTTCGAAGCCTCCAAACTCTTTTCCCGGCCCTGAACAGTCGCTTGCGGTGTGGTAGGTAACTGACCACAGAGCAGAAGCTGATGTGGCTATTCCAAGGATAAGAGGCAAGATAAGGCGCATACTTTCAGCGTTTGGATGAAATGTGGATGTGATATAAATAAAGAGCAAGCTGGGGGCCAGAATACTGCCTGTAGGAAGTCATTTTTATATCTCCCTCCAGGTCAAAAGTGCACCTTTGCAGACAATACATGTATGGTCGAGTCCACTGTGCTAGTTTGACTGATTCAAAGGAGACATCGCTGAACTCCCTTTCCCAGACAGCTACTCCCGCAAGTCACTACACGCAATACTACACTGCCTGCTTCTTTGACAAACCCTGGTCATCCTCTTTAGTACGTTCGGCATAAAAAGAAGTAACCGATTGGGCTTTTCTGGTCCCCAGATTTGGTTTCACATAATTCGTCACAGTCATGGTCTTCCTTCGCTGTAGCGAAGACCAGGTCTGCTTATCAGGAACGGGAAAGCGGTCGAACCGTCAAGCACCGCCAAACTTCGAGGCATGAAAATTCGACCACAGGAGTTACGATGCACGATATGTGCAGTAGATACTTATCCTGTGGTACTGTTTTTCCTTCCCTCTCTTGTTGTTGGTCAATGCAGCGATAATAAGCCCCCAGCCGCTATACCGCTCTCCTGGGATGGTCAGCAGATATCTGCAACAATGGGCGGAAGCTGATTAGCCCTCTTTTTTGATCTCATCCACGGTCATGTTCATTCACACTTTGTTCTTACACTGACTCCGAAAAAGTCTATTTGTTCCACCATTTTTTCTCAGGCAAATTGGAGGTGCAAAGATTTTTCAACTGCGCTTGGAATGTTATTCTGACCAGTCAAATTACTGCACGCACCAGAAGATGCCTGTGACTTGTCATGTTTCTGGACACGGGCGACAGTAAAAATCCATTATTTGCGAATCCCCTGATGATAGCAATTTCAAGTGAGTCTGCTCAAGGCTAGCTTATAAGTGACAGTCCTCCACCATTAACAACTTCAGCGAGGTGTGCATCAAATATTTCAAGTCGCTAACTAAGCCTGGAGAGTTTGAACCTGCAGCCGCTCTAGATGCACACAAGTTGCGATCCTTTCATCCGCACGCATGTTTCTTACCCCGAGAACTTTCCGACAATGTGGAGACAGTTGCAACGGCGCACATTTCGGTTGAACGTAACAGACCCTGCCAACCACTCCGGAAATCACAAACTAGCAAATGCACATCGAAAAGGGGCATGTACAAGCCGTGCGACAAAATATATCAGACGCGTTTCCCAGGATATGTACAACAGCAGCACTAGTCACGATGCTGGGTCTGCGATAAATGCACAGGTTTAAGAAAGGGGTTGACACCTCCCGTAGACCTCGCATTGGCATAGCTGTTCATCGGGGCAACTGTGGAGCGTTAGGAAATGCCCAAATAAAGATAGGGTAAGTTTAACTTACTATACACCCTCCATACCAAAGATAATATGCCACAAGAACTCCATCACCCTACCCGAAGATGCATCGTTCAATTTGGTTTTAAGAATCCATTGTCGGATCTTGACATAGTCATTCAGCGGCCGCTTCTGCACCTGATCGCGCGAAACGGCAAATTGCGCACAACATGCCGCGCCAATCTCATCAGGCTTTCGGATGTATCCATGGCCACCGTATTCCATTTCCCAGGGCGAGGACATGTTCAACGGAGGTGTGCTCGTACCTTCGAAAACATCCCACCAGATCTGATCGGTGACATGCTTGTTGAAGCGGTGGGCACCCTTGCAGCCGGGATTCCAATTGCAGCGCAGGTTGACGTAGCCGTTTCGCTGGACGAAGTCGAGTTGGAGATTGCGCATGGCGATGACGTTGTCGTGGAGTGGCGCATCCACGTGCCAGGCCGTTAGGAATCCTGAGCGGTGTGCGTGGAGGAAGGCAATTGTTGCGGGGAGGTTGTTGTAGTTGTCGATTATGTAGGTTAGGTAGGCCATTGCTTCGTGGCCTTTGTTGAATGGTGTTATCAGGGCGCTGGCGTCAGATCGTGTTTCTCGGGAGGGATTGACAATGTAGATTGCGCGTTGCCAGCTAGTGAGATACAGGATTATTGCTGGTTTACGGGGTAGAGGTGGGATCGCAGGCACTCACTCAGGCAGTTCTTGTTCTACCCATTCGGTATGCTCCTCTTCCAGCTTGGCCATCACTATCACCTTGTCCCCCATGGCGGAGTCGGCGTATGTCGGGTTCGGAACGGCGCCATTGCGATCTAACCAATTAACCAAGTATGCGCCAGCGCGATATTGATTACAGAGGTCTTCAAGATGCGCCTTGAGGAGACATAATGAGAAAAGAAGCAGAGACGAGACGCATATCACTGTGAGACGTATTCCAACCCGCATGATGAAGAAAGTTTGAACACCAGAGACTTTAAAAAGGGAAGCCTGTGGTTGTAAAATTCAAGGCGCAGACAATCGCATTCAAGCCACGGATGGTTAGCTCCCTTAGGGGCAACCCTTTTTCAATATGAGAAAGGAGAGCAATATTTCGAAACAGGAGCGTCAATAGTCCCAAAATAGCAAGGCGGACGAAGGCAAATTCGAGGAGGGGCGAGGCTAAGGCTAAACTTAATCAAACGTTCCTAGTGCAAAGTTGACAAGCTTTCTCGAAGCCTTTGTAGGGCCGGAACCTCGTGGAAAGATCAGCCGTGGCTCAACGAATCGAACAATTTCGCTGCCCGAGTTGCGCCGCGTGCCTGGTGGTGGGCAGCAGGCATTGGACGGAACGACCGAGGACAAAAGTCAATTTGCTTCACTCCCAGAGCCGCATACATCCAACTATGTGCTTTGTGAAACCCAACCAGTTACTTCGGCGCTGGGGGCTCGTGCCCCACCGTAATGCACCAGTACACCCACTGAAAGGTGCTAAAACCAAAAATAGACTAACATGTGTCATAATACAGTTCGGGGAAGAGTCTCTAGTGTCTTTGCCCCTCTTCTGTCCGATTTGCCCCACAAGATAAAGTTATCGGGCCGATACATAATGTTTCCGTGGTAACCAGGAGCGCAAAGCTTAAACGCTGGCCGTACCAGTTGAGCTGTGGAGAAAGTACATGGAAGAATCGTGGTTGAAAAGGCCCAATAATTTCATCCGTTGCTCAACCATTTCAGGCCTCCCGTTAAATCTGCTCAGGGGATTTCATTAATGCTAGATCACCTCCATTTGTCCAACATGAGAATTCGCCGATATAAAGCATGAGCGAATTTGGAATTCTTTGCCACAATCCGTTTTCAACATGCAAACTTGGCGGGATACTAGAGTTCAGGCATTAGTCCCAAAGCAGGTCAAACAAGCGGGATTGGAGATGAATCCCAGCGCAATGGTGGCTTGCCCCGCTGATGGAGGGATTTTCGTTCATGGGACACTTCGGCGCTGGTAGCCTTTTAAGACCCAGCGCCAGTCATCGCCCGCAATTGTTTTGCTTTTCTAAAACTTCCTGTTACGAACAAATACAAAGCTGGTGCAACTGTCTCAAAAATGAAACATCTCCGTTATATCTTGTTGATTCCTTCAGCTCCAGTGAAATATTTCTTATTATTATGACCCACTCGTACTCGTGTTCTCCGAGGACTAGTTCATTGTTAACGTAGCTCGCCTACAGTTTCCGCAAGGAGCATAACACTCACCAGTTGTCCAATATGAGATGCTCAAACTGATCAGAGATAGTAGTTAGCAGTGCGCAAGCTGAACGTGTTACCCTCTCGCTCACCCGGATCAGGCTTGTCAAGATGAAAAATGTTGTCACGCAACTCAGATGGAATAAAGTCATCAGTCCAGTTGGCTATCATACGGTGGTTAATGTCAATGTCTTGATAGATCTTATTGCGTTGAACTAAATATTGGAGGGCAGCGAGCACCTTAAGCTTTCCTATTAGTAACAATGGCCTCAAGTCTGCATCAGTCGGAAGATATTTCCCTGCCCAGTGAACCTTAATTAAATTATTCAAAATTAAGTCAGGACTCGGGTGAATATGCAGGAGCGGTTTGGAGTCCTGTAGTATTGCAATGAAGTAGCCCCGTATTACACAGTAGCTCACAGGTGCTAAGTGTCCTCCCAGACGCAACCTAAGCACGATCACAACTGGGTGGCATTTGGCGATCAAACATTCCTCAACAGGAGTTAGATCTTAAAGTGTACTAATGTAGTTTTAACATAGCGTCACATTTACAAGATCTTTTGCAGAAAACTTCGGGGTTGTTTGTTGGGAAAGCGAAGAGCGGCATGTTTAGCATGTTCCAGGTGTTTTCTTGTTCGCAACACTGATCAAGTTTATCGTGCAGGAGTCGCAGTCTAGAATCCTCCAACTCAACCGCGGGGATATCCAAGACGTAGAGAAGTCTTCCGCAAGAGGCACATACGGCTCGATTGTTAGTGACCTCAATTGCTTCCTCGTAGCGGCGTACAGACGAACGCATACGCGTAGGAGACAGGTGTGGGGGAAACGCATTAGACGTCTCTATGTGATGGTGTAGTTCTAGGCGCAAAAGGTTCACGGCCTATTCTGCGAACAATTCATGCTTGTTCGGTTTAGAGATAGCCTCATCTGGTTGTCAACATTTTTAGACTTATTTTTCATCAGAGACGGAGGCAGATTCATTGACAAGTTGGTGACTCCCACCGCAGTGGCATATTAGCGAGCTCTAATCGCGCCCCGTCGACAACCTTCAGCGGCAGGGAAACAAGGGTGGCGTTGTGATACAATACCTCACCAGTCAACTTCCTGGGCGTGTAAAATTAGACGTAGACACCCGTCCGAATCGATACAAGTTAAGATCGATCCCCAGGCATAGATGACTTTGTTGGATTCGTAGGACTGAGAATTACCCAGTGAGGCAAAGAAATGTATGGTAGTTGGAAGCTCAATCAATTCAACATCGTTCGAGCAGGAATGATTCCCGATGTTGTTGCATTTGCTCCTGATACCTCTTCATAAGCCAAGAACAACCAATCCTCCTTTCATTTACAACGCCTTGAAGTGTCCGGTGCGTGAGGTGTCAGCATCCGCTGAGCGCCATCTGGTGGATGGGAACTGCTCAATGAGTCTGGGCTGACGCTTGGTTGCGCCCCATTTTGCCACAGAGACGGATTAAGTATTCTTTAGCGAGCCACCCAGCCCCAACTTCGGTGGCCTTTTCCAAACAACAGGTCGTGTGATTATAACACTGGAACCATCTCCCAGACTCTTACGTGCCTCTTCATAGCTCTCAGCAATCAGTTGTTACGATGAATTTCCAGGGGCAACATTCTCGTCCACCACCCCTTCCTCCGCGAAATCCGACCACCCCTGTTCCGATTACTCGACGCCCGGTTGCCCCGCCGCTTCCTCTGGCATCCAAACCCACTGGCGCTGCCCAAACACCTACAGCACCCGCTCCGAGGAATAACATTCTGGATGACCCGGACGTCAGTAAATCACAATGAATATCTAGAGCCATTTGCAACGAATCACTAAACTGACCAATTATACCAGGTCATTACCTACTGCCCAGAAAACAATATCCTCTATGCCACCGCATACTGGTACTCGACACCCGACGCCCCCGCGTTCGAGATCTGCTCTTATTGCTTTGCCTCGTACATTCGTTCAAGCCAGTGGACGGCAAAATTCGAACGACAGCTGAAATCCCCTGATACAGACCGTCGATGCCGCTTTAGTACCCCACGCATGCTCCAGTTATGGCCGCAGGTCCTTCGCAACAATGACTGGGCATACATCAGCGGATACATGAACCACCGGGCTGATATTATGGATTGTAAGAGCTCGACGCCATTGACTACCGACGGAGGGCGACAGTGGTATCGTCTTAAGAACAATGATATTGATGACTTCGCGATCTGTGCTGCGTGTTACGAGGATGTTGCGCTTGCCACACCGTTTGGGAATCTCTTCCAGCCGAATCCAATTGCTCCGCCAGCCGGTGAGCTGTGGGTTTGTGACATGACAGAGTATTCACGGCGAGCGATGCAGAAACTCGGTCAAACAAATAACTGGAGGGCCTTTGCTGCGACTGTGGCACACATGATGACGATGGCTCCTTGTGGTGGTACGACTGGAGTAATCGTATCGAAACGGGAATGGTATCGGCCGAAGCCGTACATCGATGATATGGCCATTTGTGGCGCATGCTACTTTCGCTATTTCGCTGCATCATTCATGGAATCAGAGTGGGAGCCAATCCGCGTGGACTTTGAGAACTGCCGCTGGAATACTTGGGTGTGCGATATGTCGCTCCTCTCGACGAAGGTAGCTTATATCAAAGCAATGCAGCAGAAGAACTACTATATATTCTGGAATGCTGCAAAGGTAATCCTTGCCAGCCCTCCCTGCCCCGCAGATGGCGCCTACCGGGGTCTCTGGTATGGTCTCAGGCTCACTGGTGAGGAAGTCGGTGCCTGTTCCCAGTGCTATGCGGGAATAGTCGAGCCCTTCGGATTCGGCAAATACTTCGTGCGGGCTCAATCCTCATCAAACGAGAAACGCATGTGCATCTTCAACGAGTCAGCACCCCGACGAGAGGAGTTCCTGAAGAAATTTGACGACGCAATAAGCACAAGAGACTTTTCGAGGTTCCAGGACTTTGCAGTTCGATTCGCTGTCCTGCCGCCCTGTCCAACGTACAACCTTGTCAAAGACCGCAAGTGGTATGGGAGTAATGAATTTCTCATCTGTGAGAGCTGCTGGGAAGAGTTCGCGAAAGGTACAAGTCTGGCGGCTCAGCTCCCTCATCATGGCATCGTCCTCTCTAACGCATGTTGCGATCTCTATTCCCACCGCATGCGCGGCTTATGGAATGAAGCGTGCGAGAAGGGTGATATGACCTATTTTACGGAGTTCGCGAAACACCGCGCTACGGTGTACGCGCGGACTGTTCCCCGGATCCAGGTCATCCTGACCATCATACGGATGCGGATGGACCAGAAAAAAGCCCTTCTGATGAATAGCCTCACGCTGCAGGCTTCAGACAATCTTGTCGCCCTAACAAAGGGGCCAAGTTGTAGCAGGTACGGGAACTCCGATATAGGGTATGGGTATGCGACTGCCGCTGGTGCAAGGGGAGCGATACAGTTCAATCAAGGCCTGAGCATAAACGCCGTTAATGGCAGTGACATGGTAGAGGTTGCCCAGCTGGAGAGAATATGGAAGGAGGTGGAGTAAGGGGTTTATAGTTCTTTAGGTCCCATGTGACTGCATTCAAAACTTCCAATCTCGTGAAGAGGTTTATGTACGTTAGCAATACGGAGTCAATTAGTCATCATTCTAGTAGGAGCCTGTACGTCGCTACATATAATCATTTCATAAACGAGGGAGAACCGCCCGGCCTTGCAACTTTACTCTTTGGGCGAGCTGAGGAGTGGGTAGATTACCACTAACTACCCTGAGTATCCATCCAAAGCACTAGTCACTTCCAGCCCCTGGTCATTACACGGTTACTATGCCATGTAAGTACAAGCCAGGCAGAAAGAAAAATGTCCCAGTAAAGTAATATCACGTACTCAATTTTCAAGGAAGAGACGCCTCTTTCTTGGCAAAAAGAGTTTCTTGAGATAGTTCGCCAATCAGAGAACCTGCAGCGTCGAAGATTAGTCGCAACTTCAAGCACTATCGTCTGATACCTATTACATTAGTAAGATGGCCGCGACAGTTTCGAATGGTGCGAATGCACAGAAACTGCCCCCCGAAAGGAGCGGAACACCAAAATTCATGGTGCCTGGTGACCCACCTCAATCGATGGAAGACATCGCAGAAGGAGCCCGCCGGGTGCTTAATCACATCGAGAACAACGGTACAGAGGATCGACATGTCACAGGATATATCCGTGCTGTTTGCCAGTTCGCGCTCAAACCCTAACGGGGCGACAGTCAGGGGATGGCCAGGTGCTCGAAGCGCTGACTAAGAAGCTTGGCTGTCCCCTTGCAGGAGAGGACTTGATTGGTATTCTCCTTTTCGAGCGCCGTTTTCCGAGTCCCAATTGCTTTAAAATCCACTGCATAATGGACCGAGAGGGGTGACCCGGTGTCGCAGCACTATGCTGGTTATAGGCCCAAAACGGGTGGAGATGCGCTTGAAGATAGAGGCAACTGCAAACTCGAGTGCTTCGCTTAGGAGTACGGTCGGTTTGGGAAGGATTTCGAATAATTGATGCTCTTTGAAGCGTTTCAACGTGTTATAGATCGTCCGACGGCTACATTCGAATCCATTAGCTAGTTTAACTGCGAAATTTCGTTTTTATTGCGAAATATAGTAGCTGACATTTTTTCAGTAGATAGTTCAGCCGTTTTATGATGTTTTGAACTCTTTTCATTGAATTCGGACATGTAGGGGAGGCGTAGGAAGAAAAATAAAAAGATGGGGTTGGTTGCCGGATCCAATTGTAGTGGGAAGTGGGAAGATATCTTTGAATAGTATCTGTAATTTTGGGTATCATCACCATCCTCAACTAGTTACTCGCGGGTGCAGCGGTATTCCTATTTATTCCGCAAATCTTCTTTGGCTCTCCGAACTATCAACCCGGAACCGCCACTCTTTTACTACTTTAATTCAAATCAAACTTGTATTAGATTTCCCTTGGTTAATCTACCCACAAAGTGCATACGCTGCCATATTCTAAAAACTTCCTTTGGCATATTGTCTCGACTGGCCCGTGGCTTCTAGCCCACTCTCACCAAATATCAGACCCGCACCAGATATCAGACCAAGTATCAGTTTGTCTCCGTAGGACGAGGCTGCAGGTTTTGGATCCACCAAGCTATTTAGTTTTTGCAACCAGGGAAACATGTTAAAAATTCCAGCTTCAAACTGCAATCGCTGTATTCCCTTTAAGCGGTCTGGGCTCCAGCTCCAGTTCCTTCCCTTGCCTCAACCTTCGTCAGTGGCTACAAGACAGTTTCTCTAAAACATATTACCATCATGGCCTAGAGCGACTCAAACAACAGCGATGAGCATAACAGAAACAGATACAATAGCAGAAAGGGCTCTTTTTATTATAATAGTGTTTATAAGGTACATGTAGTTAGGTTTCGTAAAGCAAATCAATTCGTCACCGCTAGATGTGGTAAGCGTATGTCTCTTTTGTCTGGAAAGGTAATCATTCACGATCACCACACCGTCACCGTCCAAGGCTCGCTGCTTTAATTCAATGCCATCTGGTTCATCCGTAAATAGGTCAGCCACAAACTGGTCAGCATCAGAACTAATCGTGACTCTGGTAATAATAAGCATTTCAGCAAGGCGCATTTTAAACTGCTTTGATTTTTTACCTCCAGATTGAGATCCCAGAATATTTCCTGATAGGCCGAAGCGGCTGTGCAAAGTCAAGATCCAATTGTGACCTTGTTCGTCAGAACGCCAAATTAATTCTCTCTGATGCAAACGCATACAACGGTGGCGAAGCTTTAGTTCTACCGCATAAGCGTGCGAAATTGACGAATCTGAAGCGCTATTAATAGCGTCTTGTCTCTAAATCTCAGTGGCAATGTGTTCCGAATAGTGCATTAACATACAGCCGAGAACATACGATAATAGGCAGTGATTCTAGGACAATAGATGGGCTCGCGCTCCATTGGCGTGTAATTAGAGACGATCACTAGAGTGGGCTTCAGCGAAAAGACTCGTAACACCGAAGCTTGGATGACTAAAATCTTCTCCCCAACCTCATATAACATGCGGGTCAGTGATAACTTTGCCAGGCCAAATCATACGGAAGGTTGAATATGAAAAGTGGCTCCACTAGAATCATGAGGAGCCAGTGATCGACATTCATTCAGATCTAGACCCAGCGACCTCGTAAGCCAGGGTAAGCCAAGACTCAGCGAGTTTGTCAGCATACGTCTCCTCAATAACTATCATGTGCAGAAGACGTCATTACCCGTATATAAATGGGCAACTCAGCGCATATCGAAGAAATACTTTGCATACTATCACTGTCAGCAATGCAATTCTCAACGCTAGATCTTTTGATTTGCTCTACTTGTGGTGTTCAGTACGACGTTAGTGCAGGATTGAACTCATGCAAAATCTGTGATGATCCTCGTCAATATGTACCTCCAACCGGGTGAATATCTTTTCTTTTGCTAGTTGCCTTGGAGCTAACGTAGCATTCAGCCAATCTTGGACATCGCTCAAGAGCTTACACTCATCCACGGAGAATTATCGGAACGTTTTCTCCACTGATCAAAACAACCCCAACTTAATTACTATACACACTGTCCCAAAGCTTGCTATCGGTCAAAGGGCCTTCCTCTGTCTCGGCGATGCTGTGTCTGGGAATGTTCTGTGGGACTGCATTACTTATATCGACGAGGAAACGGTTCGGCACGTGAACTCACTAGGCGGAGTTCAGGCAATTGTGGTTTCGCATCCACATTACTTTTCCACCAGTGCTCAGTGGGCCGAGGTGTTCAATTGTGATCTATTTGTATCTGCAGAAGACGAGCAGTGGCTTGGAAACAGGGGTGACGGCCACAGGCTGAAACTTTGGAAAGGAGAGCAACTCCATCTTCCCTGTGCTCGAAGTTCCAGTGAAATGCAGCATGGGTCAGACCTAATTGTGATTAAAGCGGGAGGGCATTTCCCTGGAAGTTCGGTTCTCTGGTGGAAGTCCACGAAAAAGTTACTGATTGCTGACACAATTTTGATTGTTCCGAGCGGACTTTACCATGTCAATCGCCTCCCTGGTACTTCTTCTTTCACGTTCATGTGGTCCTATCCAAATTATGTGGGTCATAATATTCACCAAGCCGTTTACATGTGGCTTACTACCTTACAGATAACTCTTCCTCCAGACGAGATATATGGTATTTGGAGAGCTATCAAGGACCTCGACTTTGAGGATACTCATGGTGCCTTCCTAGGACAAGAGATTAGAGGCAACAGCAAAAGCAGGGTACTCGAGAGCGCAAAAATTGTGCTTAGGGCTTCTGGTCATCTTCAGCATCCGTTGCTGGACGAAGTCTAGCTGGCTGTTGTCTTCGTCTTTTTTATCTATTCTATTTGCTTTAATAAGTGTCTGTATTCCTGTTTGCATTTTAACATATATTGACCAAACCAACCATGGTTCTTAAACGCCTAGGAAACTCACCACCCTTCTATGTCTCACCCTGTATTGTATGCAAAAATTATCCTCTGGCACTCTCTTCGCTTGCACTAGCCAATTAATGCCCGATCAAGAACGTGTGAAATCCCGGGCCGGCATTGTCTTTCTAGCAACTTCATTTCAACAAAGCCACTGAGTTCGTCTTCAATTAGTAGTTTTGTTAGGTGTATGGGGAGGACTTTTCAATGGAGATAGTACCTAGCGACTTCCCGAAAGTGCTTTTATCTCTAAGCCTGCGTGCTAAAAATAGCCCTTGCACTTTATTCATTCACACCGACGACATCAATACACTATGCAAGAAAGGAATTAAACCCTTGGTTGAGACCTGCTCCAAAATAACACCGGTTACACTTAATGAAGGCCTTAAGCTCAGCCAAAAACTCCTCGATTGGATTCAAGTACAGCGATACGGTGGCAAAAAGACTTGTTTTCACCCAATATCCTTGCACATCTGCGAAATCCGTTGTGGATGATGGAATGACGCATTATCCATGACCACAATAGATGCAGGACTGGGCCATGTTCCGCGGTGCTGAAGGAGAACTGAGATAAAACGTCTTTGGATATAGTAGCATCTGCTGCAACCCACGTAAGAGAACCATTCAAACATTCCTTCTCGCCTTCCTATACCTTCCAGTATTCCTCGATTCCAGGTCCCCCAATCGCCTAATTCCGCGTTTGCCCGAGTCAGCAACTCTAGTTTCCTTGTACTTTCTGACTCGAATTTGTCGATTTTGAGTTGGAGCTCATCAACTTGCTTTTCCAATGATCGAGTGGATCTTCCAGTCATTGCTATTCGTTGGGGTAATTTGCGCGAGGCATCGATCATGAAATCACCTCCTTGTAATATGAGTGTGTTGGGGCTCTCGTCAGGATGGGCAGGCAGCCAGCAGCAATGACCGGCTCAATAGTCTTCTCCACGCCATTGATCTTACCCACTAGATTATACTTGGGCTTGTCCAGATAATCGGCCGAAAACACACCAGCGGTGATAGGCCGAGCACGGACGCCCATACGCTCAAGCTCCTCTGCCAACTTTATGTTCTCCTCCAGAAGAGCTTGCGCGCCAGCGACAGGGTCTTTCCATCCGTGAGCCAGATCCCATCCGCAAATTGGGGCTCAACTCCGGCGGCTTCTAGCATGCGGTTGAGCTGCGGACAGGCACGGTGGACGACGATCGGATAAAGACCGACATGGTTCAACAAAGCGAGGGCCGAGGACAGATCTGGAGGTGCTCGGTGATAATCGCACCGCCGACCTTGATGACGGCGAACTGCTGGGAGGAAACGGAGGTGAAGTGGGACAGGTACTGCTGGGCCTCGCGCTTGGAACCGATGTTGCTCCGCAGTTGGACGACGGTGCTCGGGTCGAGCTCAGGAGAGGGCTGGCGGCGCGCGAGTATGGTCGGCCCTGGCGCAGGGGAGTCGATACGGAGCAGGCAACGACACCGGCTCGCAGAACCGAGACGGAGTACCGTGCGGAGAGCGATTGGAGGGGCTTGGTAGAAGCTGCGGCGGAGCGAAGGGACAGCATCTTGGTCACCAACAAGTGGTAGCGTTAATTGAGACTTAGCAGGTCGCTACTTGAAATGTCCCCATTTTGTAGAACTGATTGGGAGGAGCGGAGAGGGGGTATTAGGAGAAAAGAGGAGGAGAAGGAACCGCGCATAGACTACTAACCATGGGACTCCGATTCTTTTATTTCTGAATAGCTCTACAAGCCACAATCTGGGCATATCAACTTCAGAGAAAGTCTGGCCAGGATGAATGCGGGAAGCCGCAAGAATGGAGGGTATATGCGTCGCCGCTCAGAGATGGGCGGGTGGAAACTGCATGAACGAGAAGCTCCGATGAGAGCTCACAGATTCGTGTCGAGTTGGGTGACTTTTATACCTGACCGCGACGGAAGCCAATGTGAACTGGTGGCTGCCAAAATTAACACGGAGTGGTTGGAGGTCACGATATTTCACGCTCCTCAGCATGCTGCCGTAATTCGCTGTGGCAGGCAACCGTTCTCTCGCGCAGTGCTTCAGGTCAGGCAGAGACCAGCCAGTGTCAACAATGCTGACATATTAATCAGCCCCCGGTCTGGGGTTGCCACCAATTTCCCATTGAGTGCAAAGATAGGGTGTCCGAACAGTAGGCGGCGGTCATCATTCGTGGCCGTTCCCGAAGTTCCGAAGCTGGCTTGGCCCGAATAGAATGCTGGGGGCTGTTTAGCAAATAGGCCAAGCTTCGGATGGGGTCCACGGCGATAGTGTGGAAGCTCATGATGGAACTAGCCTACTGTGGACGGTTGATGCTAGTTGGTATTAAAGGACCCACTCTTCTAAAAAGAAGGCCGCCCTATTGGCCTTGTCCATGCACTTTCTAGAGTACAATGTGCCTTCGCGATTATGGCCTAGCAGCTTCTCTTGCCCCGAACTCTTCAAAACATGGTCTCTAGCTCTTTGTACCATTTTTGGCCACAGATTGAGAGGCAAGTCTGATAATAAGATACTATATGTCTCTGGGGTTTTATTACCAGAGCTGATCATTTGTGAAGCGACAGTGCCTTTTGATTTTAGCTCAGCTCTCGCACCTTTCCTTCATGGACTGACACTATTCCATAAATCAAGTATTCGCCTCGAGCAAAGATACAAAGCGGAATAACTTGCTGTTCTGTCAACTGGCGTCGCTAATACTGACAAGGTTGCATTGCGCCGAAGATATATTTAAGGGTAAGCGACCTCAGTGAATAAGCAATATCCTCAGAGAGGTCGTGTCTATACACTAAGCCGTGAGCCTGCATCGCTTCTCACTCAGGACGCTACGTCAGCTATCATCTCCTGCTATTCTTGAGCCTGCGTCTCGCATATGTACTTGGATTTCTGCTAGGCTTTATAACAGAAGCTCCTCCACCGCTTCATATCCATAAGAACTAGCATAATACTGTTGTGTCCCACCACCATTGGCCACCGAGTCTGCCTCCACATCATCTCGCTCCAGAAGCAGCCTCACCAATTCTTCATGTCCACACATAGCTGCGTAAGACAGTGGCGTGCGACCATTCTTGTTTTTCTGGTCCGCTTGAGTACTATTCTTCGCCAGTAGCAGCTCTTTCAGTCTGGCCTCGGCTTCTCTTGCGAGAAGGTGTAAGACTGTATTCCCTTCTTCATCCTGAATAGAAGTGTGTCGGAATGTCATGAGTCGGACGAGGTCAGGAACGGCGTGTAAAAGTGATAATTGGTCACAAGGGTTGAGATTCTCCGCCGCGAGGAGAATGATCTCTCTCAGGAGATAAGCACGATCTTTAGGCGTTGTCATCGTCTAGCGTATAAGGGATGCCAAACGATATTTAAAAACCCGCAGTGGTCCGATTGTGTGGCCTTGCAGAGCTGTCATAACGCGCCGACGCGGGTCAGGGGTCCCACCGAAGTGGGACCCAACCGAAGGTACGAGCGTCCACTGCAGTCAGATCATCCAAACTGTGATCATGGCCAAACTGGAGCCCTGGGACCCCACCAAACGTGACTTTTTATGTTACCCTTGCTGACGTTGGTGCGAATCACTCATGCGAATACGTGAGCTGCTGCCATTTGAATTAGGCTGATGGTAAGTTATCGAGACGGATCCACTGGAATGTATGGATTGTACCTGCCGTTTTTGGGGGAAAACAAAGTTTGACGGACCCGTGTCAAACTTTTGGGATTTGGTGCGGGGCGGTCCGATTTGAAATTATCATCAGGAGCGAATTTTTCTCATACCCGGGGGTATGCAATGCACGGGATGCAAGCTGATGCTCAAGTTGAAGCCAAGGTGCGTCAAGCTTCGACAAGCTTCAGTCTGCCAAGCATGAACCAGCACTCTTAATGTGGAGCAAGGGAAGGTCGCCCATGTCACGATCACTGGCCAATCAAAATACCCCGTTGCCGGCTGGAAGGCGAATGTGGGGAACGACAGAAGCTAGATACGGTGTTTTTGCACGAGCACACGCAAGCGAGGTTGGATGTTGTATCCTGAAAATTTCTACTTGCATCAGCCCAACGAAGCTGCACGCGGCTTATCCCGCCTTCTTCAAGAGAAAGATCTTGGTAATTAGGAGCAGGACGCATACAGATATCATGTGGAAAGCTGCATAAAATTGCTATGTGAAGAGCCAATGTATTACCATTCTTGTCCCCAATGCAACAGGATATTAGGTGGAATTTGGGACCCCGTTTCGTCTGAGCGCCTCGGACGGGACACACCAGTACACGATTCGGCCGTTCAGGTTGTTGAGATGAGGGATAGGATATCGAAGGCACAATAGCATAAGCCAGCAATTGAGTAGTATTGAATATGTCTTTCTAAATCTAAGGTGACCCCTGAGTGGAAGTACGCTATACACACTTCCCGATGATCCACGATCTATTAAGCTAGTGCGTCTCAGGGATGAGTACCTAGTATCTACAAGGCCTCAGCGGCATTAGCGACTGCTGAGAACTTAACGCAGGTGGTGCGCATACTATATATACAGTGCAACTGAGGCGTCAATACTTCAGTACTGGTAAGTTAGAGAAGCCCCGAGCGGTGGCTATTTATAGACCATCATACAAAGCACCTACTGCTTTCTAATTTAGCCTAGATTCTCATGACCCTGGGAGTCCAGTCAACAGTCCTGCTGGAGCGGAAGGTCCTGCCGAAATAAAATGCCCTGCCAGAGTCAATTTCCAGTAGCGAGTCCAGGCTAAAGTAGAAAGCAAGGGGCACTTTGTGTGATGGTCTATTAATAGCCTCCCTCTGGGGCTTCTCTCCTCCGTATACTTCCGATAGTAGTCCCAAGCCAATGCTACAGTCATTCTCGAGTTCGGTTTGACCAAAACCCACTCAATTACTCCTTTCTGGACCCACTGTCACGGCTTTAGCGCAGATAAAATCATTGAGTGAAGCACAAGGAATTGAGGGCCGCACTGGACTGTGCAGAGATGATGACGTGTTTTGCAGCCAAGCCACGAAGTTTACTTCAGCCACTCACCTATTTCCGCTGGTCTGAGATACCTTATTGGTAGTGACATTCATAGCCAGGGATTGGAATGTTTGCTCAGCTGATTTATGAGAGTTGGAAAAACAATAAATATGCGAGTCGAAGGATTCCAGTTCTGAGTTGCGTTTCATCGCTTCGCAATACATCAAGCAGCATATTGTTCTCCATGGCAGCCCTGAAGCCTCAAATCTACCAACATGACATCGGAATCCTTACTCATCTGGCTGCACAATTGCCATCTTCAATCGCTCTTCTACGTCGTATACAACATGGCATTGCCTACCCATCTTCAACCGCCAGAATCTTAGCAACGTTCCCCCCGGGATCGTCACCTACGCATAGCCAGCCCTGGCTGGCCGCACGAGTAGATCTCTTTCGCAGCCGGGAAACCCAGATTTTTCTGTACTCTAGCCTTGAGGCAGAGCATACATCAACTCCGACTATCTTTCCTTTCTTTACTGATCCTGCGCATCAAGCAACCAAGTCCTCCGGAGCAGGATCTGCCCCGGGCTCCATCAACACGAGCCTCGTTGCGTCCTCCCTGACAGCTACCCCAGACCACTTGGACGTCACGCGAGAGCAGCTCTTGAATATGCTGTTATATATCAAGACCAACCTACTGCCAGACTACCTGGCATCTCTATCAGCAATGCGCTCAATCGGAGCCATATCATCACCGGTCTCCAATTACGCGCCTTCTAGTCTGGATCCAAAGGCGTTTTTGATCGGGTCATTACATACTGGTCTTTTCACGCTTCTTCTACGCTCGGGGACATTCGCTCACCCGATAATTGACGCAGACGTGGATCTAGAGCCATATCCCGGCCTAAAGGTCCATCGATTCGATAGTCGGCCCTACCTGAAATATTTATTTCGACAAACTCGCCTCAACTCCAAAACTTCTGATGGTGCGATACCTCTACCGAAGGGCTATCGGTATTGTGATAAACGCGGGAGATTCGGTGTCCTCTACTCGCAGCTGGATCTTATCCAGAGTCGTACACATATTCCACGGTCAAAGGAGCAATTGTTGAGTATCCCGAGCGTAGTAGTGTACCACGACTCAGGTAAAGAAGAAAACATGCATGGATGGTCAGGTTCTAGTTGTTCTCCTTCTAAGGAAAAGGACGAAATGCCTATCGCGTGGGCTTTCCTGGGCCTAGATGGCGCTCTAGCGACGCTTCATGTCGAGCCTGGCCACCGGGGTCAAGGTCTTGCTCCTTGCTTATCGGTGGAAACCATGCGTCGAGGAATGGATCTAGATGGGATATTTAGCGCCAAAGGGGAGAACGAGGAAGTGCAAAATCACCTAAGAGAATGGGTTCATGCGGATGTGGCTCAGTATAACATGGCAAGTCGGAGGGTTATGGAGAAGGTTGGAGGCGAGGTATTGTCGACTGTTATGTGGACTGTGATAGAACTCTGTGATTAAATCCGCCTTTGAACTACTCACTGCAAATAGATGCAGTTGCTCAACCGGGGTTGATTGACCACCTATCAATCGCTTGCACCTACTTAGCCGACGCTTC